CGGGCCGCCCGCCGCCGCTCTCCGCGCCCGGCGAGCCCGACGGAGGCGCACCCGCAGGCACAAACTTTGTGGGAGCGCGCGCCCTCTCCGTCGCCCGCGCGCGCGCACACGCGCACACGCGCACACACTCACACACACTCGCACGAACCACCTGACACGCTGATGTTATCGGCGGTAGGAAGTGTGTGGCGCCCTTCTGCTCTTCTCCGAAACCTGTCCCCAGTACTCGGTAGTGCCGAGAGACCTGGGCCTCCCAAGGTTCTCTTTTCCCCCCTGACTTCCACGACCCCCAGCCAAAGGGTGAAGTCGGGAGAGGAGACTGGGGGGCGGGCGGCGTCTCTCGGTTACACTGAATGCCACCAACTCCGCGTCCTGCAGAGGAGGTGAGCGCGAGGAAATGGGCTTCACGAAGCGACTCTCGTGGGACCCCCCTTTCCTTCGCGCCGTTTCGCAGCCTTTACCCCGCCGTCTGGGACCGCCGCTTGGGGCGTTTCAGCCCCGGCTGCCGAGGACCCCTTGTCCCCTCGCAGGTCCCTTTAGCCATCAGAGCGCAGAGGCGGGCTGGGGTAGGGACTACTGTCGTTGTGGCTTTGACTTAACTTGCGCATTTGGGTCTCTGCTGCGTAGCAGTTTGCAAGCCTGGCGGTAGATACACGTCCAGTTGCCCCAGAGGAGGGCGGCGGCTGTGGAGGTGTGCTCCGGCAGAGTGATCCCTACCGGGCCGGGAGGCAGCTGCCTAGCATCTGTGGGAGACGTGGGGAGAAGAGGAGAGTGGTGGGGAGAGGTGAGGAGACGTGCGGCGAGCTTTCTTACAACCGCACTGCGAGTGCCTGCGTGGAGCAGGCCGGCTATGGCGGCTTGACCCCTGCTGGGCCAGGTGGTAGTGGAGACAATAACAGCAATAGCTAATGTTGATTTAGTGCGTTCTACGCGCCAGGCCCTGTGCTAAGTGCTTTTTATACATTTCCTCATTTAATTCACCACCCCCAAATACAAAGAGTTTGCTGTTCTAGAGATGAAAAATTACGGTTAGAGGATAATTTGCCTGAGATCACACATGTGGTCAACAGCAGAGAGCTATGAGCTGGGCTGAGATCTGCCTGACCCCCTGTAATCACGGCTGGGTTGCCCTAAGGCCGTATGTGACACACGGATCATCATTGTCAGACACCCTAACTCTAGACACAGAAGTAGGTATCTTTCAAGCCATCATGTTCCGGACGCGAAGCCTCCCTCTGCTCTTTCATTTATATATTTCCATGCCACCTTGTCCAAAAAAAAAAGAATTCAAGATTGCGTACAAGCTATAACCTGCAAAAAAGTGTGTAAAATGAAAAACAAGGCACACACAATGAAGCCAGAAATGACAGTTTTTAAAAAATGCACCCAAAGTTCAATCACTGCTACAAAAACCTGAGCTGGTTAAGACTCACAGCGACCACGTGTGTCAGAGAGTAGACCTGCTCCGCAGGATATTCTTGGCTAGTAGAACTGCTCCATAGGGTTTTCTTGGCTATAATCTTTACAGAAGCAGATCACCAGGCCTTTCTTCCGTGACACCCCTTGGGTGGGTTTGAACCGCCAACCTTCAGGTTAGTAGCTGAGCGCAAACCATTTGTGCCACTCAGAGACCTCGCTTGCTACAAGGGAGACAAAATTTGTCTGGTGAATTTCTGGCAGTCAGGTTAAAAAGGGAGGCCTAGTCTAACATTCAATTTCTGTTACATGCAAGACAAAAAAAAAAAAAATTGCTCAAGAGAAGATTGACTCTGATACTGAGACCAGAAAGACATTTCTCCAGAGACTTTTCATGAAGAGAACATTGGGTGATATAAAGGAGCAAGTCTTCAGTCACAGCAACCTATAGAAGGTACTTTGTGGATGTTACATAAACGTTAAAGAGTGATACTCTTCCTCACTCAGGGGTTCCAAAATTAAAAAACTGTAGACTGTCCGGATACACCCCCTGCCTCATGAAAGCCCTACAAATGTAATCAACCAAACTCTGTGGATGTCTGAGGATAGTGAAGATTCCACACCCACCTTCTACATATTCTGACTTTAGCCCCACCTCTCCCAAGTTTGCATCTTTGACTTTAGTTCATAAAGGAGAGGGTCTGATTCCCAAGTGAACTCTAACCTTCACTGACCTCCCCGCCCCAGAATGAGCTTTTTACTTTTCTCCACCTCCCCCCCAAATACTTCCACCTTTTACTTAGGTTTTATGTTGCCAGATAATATTCTGTGTCCTTTCCTTATCTGCACAGCTAAACCATAGATTATTTGAGGTCCAGGATCAGGTCTTATGCTTCTTTAGCTAAAACAACCAGCATTGGGCAGCGCATGTGGAAATTCCCAATAAATTGCTTTTGGTTTCATTTTGAAATGTGGAATACGGTGATCTCAAAGAATATTGGCTTCTTCTAGATCATTTCTGGAGAAAGGGTGCGAGTTTTCCTTTTAAATTCCCTGCCCACAGCAGGATTGATAGGCTTGCTGTACCCTCCAGTGTTTCATGGGATCCCCTTCACTGGATTACCTAAGGCTGTCACCTCTTCTGTACTGTTTCGCCCTTGAGAATAGAGCCTTACATTCTCTTCATTGCACCGAGTCTTTGGTCTTGCATGTGGCAAGGGGATAATCCAGATTTATACTCTACACGCATATGTATATGTGTCAAGTGGATCAGTATGTACCTTTATGTGTATATATATGTATATGTAAATATATGTTTACACACACACACTCACACCCACACACAGGAACAGTGGTAGAATTCTCGCCTTCCATGCAGGAGACCTAATTTTGATTCCCAGCCAATGCCCTCACTCACAGCCACCATCTGTCAGTGGAAGCTTGTGTGTTGCTATGATGCTTAGCAGGTTTCAACTGAATTTCCACTCTAAGACAGACTAGAAATAAAGGCCTGGCAATTTACTTCCAAAAATCAGCCAATGAAAGCCCTATGAATCACAACGGTCTGATCTGCAACCTATCATGGGGGTGGTACAAGGACCTGGTAGTGTTTTCTTCTCTTGTGCATGGGGTTGTTATGGCAGCTAACCGTATACATATACATATGTGTGTATAAACATCTTTGTGTTGTATATGTATATATCTACATATATATGCACACACAGATAGGCTATTCAGTGTATACACACAATACTAATCATGCATGTAGTCACTTACACACACCTACACACATGTGTGATGTCCTTGTCTAGGGACTGATCCCTCCTGATAATGGGAAGACCCTCAACAAGATGGACTGACACAGTGGCTGCAACAGTGGGCTCAAGCATGACAGTAGTCATGAGGATGGTGCAGGAGCGGGCAGTGTCTCATTCTGTTATACAGGGGGTCGCTATGAGTCGGCACCGACTCGACGGCATCTAACAACCACAACACACGTGCAGTCCATTCTGTATGGAAAGAGTATAAATTGAGGTTATTAGTTCATTCAGGAGACGAGTCTTGGTGAGTTTTCTAGAGAAAGGGGCCTACTTCTACCTAGGAAGTTTCTTCCTCTCGAGCTTCCTGAGAACTTAGCACTCTGCTTGCGTCTGACTCTATTTTTGGGCCAATCTGAGCTCTTTGATGAGGCTTTCTAGCTGCTCCTACCTGAGCAATGTCTTTTCAAAACATCTAGAGGACTAGAAGTCAGCTCCGTCTCTGACTCTCCCTGGTGTTATCTAAGGCTCCTCTGGCCACAGGAGCAAAGTTCCTCTCGTTTTCTCTGGCTTTCTGCTCTTACCCTCTCTTCCGCTTCTCCTGCCTCTTTGATGGGCAATGATCAATGTTTCTGTAGCGCCAACAAAGGTTGGGGACCACAGTCTTCCTCAGCCCACCCCTTGAGTGAGGCGTTCCCCAGGACTCTTTCTCTATCATTCTTTTTCCTCTCCGTCAGGGGTTCCTAACTGGGGCCCATGGACCTTTTACTTAGATTTTGGGGTGTGTCTGTGAAGCCTCTGAAATTATATCCAATTTTTTGTGTGTATTTTTCCAGGGGAAAGATCTTTAGCTTTCATCAGATTTTCTAAGCGATCCGTTACTCAGTTTAGGTGTTTGATTTTCTTCCATGGCATCACCCATGACTTACGTGACTGTCCTATCTGAATATCCAACATCTCTCCTAACATCCAGACCCGCATTTTCTGTAATTGTCCCACACCAGCTTCCTCTCCGTCTCCATGGCCACATCTTGGACTAGGCCCAGTCACCTCCTCGGTGGACATGTGTCATAGCCTCTTAACCGTTTGCCTTGGTTGATGAGACCTCGTTTTCTCTGATCCTTCTTTCACGTTCTTCTGGAGTTACCTGGTCATGTCATTGCTCTGCTTCCAAACTGCCAAGGAATCCCCGTTTGCCTATAGAATACAAGTCCAAACTTCATAACATCACACACCTTCACAACTAGACCTTTTCCTGCAGCCTGACCTTCAGCCATGCTCTCCCGGGTATCTGACCTCTTAGGTTGCTCCTTGGCCACTCCTGATCATTGCTGTTCCTGGTGCCCCTTCAAGCCTCGGCGCCTTTGCTCAGGCACTTCCTTCCTGCCATTTCTTCTCATTTAGTAAACACACAAAGACACAGTGATACCAAATGCGTCTAAGCTGGCTGGTCAACGTAAAGGACACACACAGGTGCAGAGGGTGCAAACCTCCAGTGTCCCTGCTTTCAGAATCTGCCTGATGACTGGCTGCGTTCTGGGAACCCACGGGCCCCGACAGCTTCCATTCTGTGGTCTAACTTTATTCATCGTTTTAAAATATATGTGATGTAGTGTCATGTACTGTCATTGGCACCGAGAGTCTGGCGAAGAACAAGACCGACAAGGTGCTCATTCTCACGAGCTCACGTATTGGCCGAGGAGACAGATAGCAGCCAAGTCAACAAATGAGTAATAAGCCACAATTTTGCCACCTGATATCCAGGAGCTGACACTCCAGAGTCGGGACATCTCTGCCTTCTTGGGGGCACCTCTTCTCTGTCCCATTTGAGGTGTCCACATGGATGTGAGGAGAGAGCCACCACGTTTAGGGGTACAGCTGCAGGGGATAGTGAAGGGATTTGGAGCAGGAAAAGCAGAGAGGGGATAAGGCTCCGTCCTTTATGCTGAGTGGTATCCTGGAAGACTGGGCCTCATTTTGTGTTATAACTGACCGTCTCATGCAATGTTACATTAAACGCGGTAATTCCCTGCTGCTCCTCTCCCTGGAGCAAAGCTCCGTGGAGTAGCCCACTTGAAGCTCCTTTTGCCCCTGGGCCTTTAGATTTGGGGCTCGTAGTTGGACTCCTGCCTGTCTCTTCTCCCACATGCGGCCTGCCTCCTCCTCGGGGGGACATTCCCATCTAAGGGCCAGCTGCTCGGGAGAGGGCTGTCTCTTTGAGGTAGCCCCAGGAGTCTCCAAAGGCAATTTTATGAATGTCTTATAAATTGTATGTTAAGCTAGACCATTCCAAATATAGAGCCCTAATGGGGAAATTCACCCTTGTTTTCAAGGATGCTGTCTGTCTCTATGGAATCCCTTCCCAGAGCCCCCAAAGTCATTTTTATTTACACCACAGAGCCTGTATTTTCAGTCAGACTGGCCTGATCTTGCAATTTTTTTCTTTTTAGGAAGCTGACGCGAACAAATGGAAATACATGTGGTCTCCTGCTACTAAGATGGGAGAGCCTGGGAGGCTTTGAGCAGAGGCGTGGTGGGATCTGACGTCTGCTCTCACAGGACCGCCGGATGGGAGGTGAGGGTGGAAGAGGCTTTGTGGAAATGGCCCTCATGATTTCCAACTGTGTGGGTCCACCAGGTCGGTTTCAAACTGTTTTGAACATACTCCCCTGTAAGGAAGCCATTTTACATTGTGTGACTCCGTCAGATGCATGAGTAAAACCAAACCACAAGTTTCATGAAATAGTATTTACTCTTACTACACGTGATATGCTCTAATCCTTTCAAGTCTTTTTTTTTCAATGACATTAAAAAAACATACTGATCGGGACGCACGACATTGATTCATTCCTGGGATGGGGTCATAGTTTACACGCTACAGCTCAAGGCCTGTCTCTCAAAACAGCAATAACCAGTTGAAGTAGAGTGGGAAGCTGGAAGCCTTAGCTGAATGTGCCGATCAAGATTGAACTGTATCTCTGCCTAATTTTAACGGACTCAGTCATTTTGGTCAAAATAATTTCTTGGTATCCATCCACATAATAGCGAAAATTTACTGTAAAGGAAGCACTGTTTTCGTTTTGTTTTCTTGCCTGCACCTGCGTCAAGCTGAAAATACTCGACTCTGAACAAAGCGTGCAGCTGACAGAGAATTGTGCTTTCTGGCTTTGTAAATGTGGCCTGAGACCTAACTCTCGACTAGAGTATTCAGCTTAATTCATTTTAAATTCAATCAGTCAGCGAGAAACATTGCCATGTGTTGTGACAAATATGGTCAATGCCCATTTCTGTGGGATTTTCGAGTGCCCCTTCGGAAGGGAGGCTTTGCCCCAGAGGAGGGCTATCTCACCCTAGATCTTCATTTGAATGATGCAGGTGTGATCCTGGCATAAGGGCTTTGATGCCATTAGCTTGCGTTTGGGTTGTGGTGTGAAGACATCTAAGTTAGATTTAGGATAGGTATGTGAAAAGTTATGTATAATCCATGTTGGCGGTCACTCAAAAAATCTTCTTGAAATTCTTAGTTGCTGTTTCTGTTCCCCTGCTTCAGCCAGAGGAAATAGATGGGTAGAGTAGGAAGTAGGAAGTAGGTGGGAAGTTGGAGGTGGAGTGAGCTCGCCTCAAGCCCCCCTGCTTAAGGGAAGTGGCAGAGCAGTGTTTTGACATTCATGGGCCCCTTCCTTCATAAAAAGGAGGCCTTGGGTGTTACAGGAAACCCTGGTGGCGCAGTGGTTAAGAGCTATGGCTGCTAACCAGAAGGTTGGCAGTTTGAATCTACCAGGTGCTCCTTGGAAATCCTATGGAGCAGTTCTACTCTGTTGTATAGGGTTGCTATGAGTCGGAATCCACTCAACGGCAGAGGGTTTGGTTTGGTTTGGGTGGGTGTTACAAATGATTAGGCACTGGGCTATTAACTAAAAGATTGGTGGTTCAAATCCACCCAGAGGTGCCTTGAAAGAAAGACCTGGCAGTCTGCTTCTGAAAGGTCACAGCCTTGAAAACCCTATGGAGCACAGTTCTACTGTGTAACACATAGTGTCACCATGAGTCAGAATTGATTTGCCAGCAACTGATTTTTTTTCTCTCCGTAAGATACATTTTACAACTGTTTGTATAAGGATGAATATAGTGCAGGCTGGGTTCATTAGTATTCATTTTTTTCCTCTGGGCCTCCCTGTGCCTTTTGGATCAGTGGCCCTGGGTGTTGGACTAGCTCCTCTGTGGAAGACAAAGTGCTCTTTCTCGGCTCTTGGAGAGTTAGCAGCTTCTGGCTGTTGAGAAACACGGATGTGAAATGGGGGAAAGGTGAGTGTGGAGGGGGTCAGTTCCTGTGCTTGTGGACATATGGTAAAGAACAGACGTGGAGGACTGACAGCTGGAGACCAGCAGGGTGGGAAATGGACAGAAAATGAAGGCTTGCCTGGGGAGGAGAGACAAATTGGAGGCCCTCTTTAAAAGCAGGGGCTATGAAGGCTCATTCAAGGCTAGAGAGTTCAGCTTAAGTGGCCAAAAAAGTACTACCTACTATCCACTTGGTTAATATCTTAGTGATTAAGAATCTGTTCTGCCAATTTCCAAGGCCAACTCTTCAGACAGGGATTGGACTGGCCTGTGGGATGTAAAGTGATACTCGTGAAGAGTGTGCCTCTTAGCTCAAGTAGATACAAGAGACTAAACGGGCAGCTTCTGTCCGGAGGTGAGATGGGAAGGCGAGAGGGTTAGGAGCTGGTTGAATGGACATGGGGAATCAGGGGTGGAAGGGAGGAGTGTGCTGTCACAGTACGGGGAGAGCAATTAGAGTCACGTAACAATGTATGTATAAATTTTTGTGTGGGGAAAAAAATTTAAAAAAATATAAAGACAAAAAAAAAAGAAAAAGAAGAATCTATTGCGCATGGGGTCACCAGGGGTGGGAGGCTGACTCGACAGCCGCTGACAGCAACAACGTGTCCTGAATCAGGGAGTGAGTAAGTAACTATCACTTTCCTGTCAGACTTGAATTTGGGGCTGTCTTACCAAGAGGCCCAGCCAGAAAGGATCTGGTAGCCCCTAGCTGCTGCAGAAAGTTGGCCAGACTATTGGACACAATTGGTTATAGGCAAAAACAAACAGAAAAGCAGACGATAAAATGCAGACTTGCATGTTAAGTCATGCTGAGCTGGATTCTATGATTAAACAGAATGTGTGTGTGTGTGTGTGTATGTTTAACTGTTTTCTCTATTTACCCTGGATTCTTCACACTGATTATATAACCTAACATTTACAGAGTCCTTCCTACAGGTCAAGAACTGTGCCAAGTAATATGTATGCAGTATTTTACTTCATCCTCATGAAAACTTCCTGAAGGTTTATCATTGTTCTCCCACTTCATAGATGAGGAAATGAAGGCTCAGAGAAGTGAGTGGTGAAGCTGGGTTTCCATCCCAGGTCAGTGTGACTCTGGAGCTCAAGTTTATCGGTACTTTGCTACACTGCCCACTCGTAATAGGTTAGATTTTGTACCCAAACCAGTTGAGCTTGTTGGCTGTTAGCCATTATGGAATAGTGGATGAGGCAAAGAGAACACCTAACTAACACTAGCTGTTATCTCAACAAAGTGTTAACCTTTCCGCTGTCTTGTCAACCACATGTTACAGACCTGATCAGAATGTTTGATCTAGTTACAGCTGCTCCCTCAGCTGAAATTGTCCCTGAAAATACCTGGCTATTTGTCAGGGGAAGGAAACCACTGACTTGAGGCTCCCTCAGGCCAACTCCAAATTTTCCCTTTGAGGCTACTTGCAAAGTGGAAGTGATAAGTGATGCCATTGTGCAACTAATATGTTGGTCAGAGTCATGTTACCTTAATATGTCCGCTCTCACGCAGAAGGTACCGCGTTTCTGTATGTGTGCGCGCATGCATGCACCTGAGTGTTTCCTTAACAGATTGGGTCAGAAATGTAGTTTCTGCTTCAGTCTCTTCTTCTTAATTTTTTTGGGGGAACTTTGGCTCTTCCCTCTTAGAAATGGAAAATTATTAAACCAGGCGGTGCAGGCATTATTTCTTAGGTCTTTCGTACTACATCCCAAGAGGTTTTATTTTTGTAATAGGTTTTAGCTTATTATATGTATATATGTGTGTATATATGTATACATATATATATAACCCAACATTGATTGAATACTTCCTACATGTATTAAATATATATACATATATTTAATTCCTGTGACTGAGCTATTAATGTAAATGCGCTCCAATCTCAAAATCTATTTTCAACAGGTGTGAATATCTTTCTGGGGCCCTGATGATGCAGTGGTTAAAAGGTCAGCAGTTTGAATCTACCAGCTGCTCCTTGGAAGCCTTATGGGACAGTTCTCTGCTCTGTCCTATAGGGTCACTATGAGTTGGAATCGTCTCAACGACAATGGGTTTGTTTTGTTTTTTTAAATATTTTTCTGAGGTGCAGACATAGGTTCAGACTTTTGGTCTAGCCTGATCAGATTAAGTTTGGAGCCCTGGTGGTACAGTGGTTAAGAGATACGGCTGCTAACCAAAAGGCCGACAGTTCGAATCCACTAGCTGCTCCTTGGAAACTCTATGGGGCAGTTCTATTCTGTCCTTTAGGGTCACTATGAGTCGGAATTGACGTGACAGCAATGGGTTAGGATTTTTGGGTTTTGGTCAAATTAGGAGTTAAGACTGATTTTCTCTTTTTTTGGATTATTTTGTCCAGTCCCTCAAGTTCCCAGCCAAGACCACCCTTTCCTGGAATATTCCAGAAATCTAGTGTCATGGATTAAATTGTGTCCCCCCAAAATATGTGTCAACTTGGTTAGGTCATGATTCCCAGTACTGTGTGGTTGTCCTCCATTTTGTGATTGATGTAATTTTCCTGTGTGTTGTAAATCCTAATCTCTGCCCGTGGTTAATGAGGCAAGATTAGGTTATGTTAAAGACGATTAGGGTAGGATATCACATCCCTGATTCAATGTAAAGGAAGTTTCCCTGGGGTGTGGCCTGCATCACCTTTTATCTTGCAAGAGATAAAGGGAGAGAAAAGCGTGCAGAGAGTTGGGGACCTCGTACAGAGAGTTGGGGACCTCGTACTACGAAGAAGGCAATGCCAGGAGTAGAGCGTGTCCTTTGGATCTGATGTTCCTGTGCTGAGAAGCTCCTAGACCAGGGGAAGATTGATGACAAGGACCTTCTTCCAGAGCTGACAGAGAGAGAAAGCCTTCCCCTGGAGCTGGCACCCTGAATTCAGACTTCTAGCCTTCTAGACTGTGAGAGAATAAATTTTTCTTTGATAAAGCCACCCACTTGTGGATTTTCCGTTATAGCAGCACTAGATAACCAAGACACCTAGTGTGTTCAATATCTTCCTACCTTGTTGCTGTACCCAGCCTGCTTACAGCTTCTAGTACAGTGCTGGGCACTGAAGACAAAAGGTCCCTCATTTGCCTTGTTGTCAACTCAGGGCAAATAATACACTAGGGAGTTCGCTGACGCAGCGGTGCTGCTTTTCTTCTGGTCCCCAGCTCCGCTGGAAGACTTACAGGTGACACAAAACTTCTCTTTCTTGCTGTTCCATCAGTGTTTCCCTTTTCCCTTTGTTAGTCCACCAGGACATTTGAGTGCTACTTTTAATTTTATCTTCTTTTTTTTTTTTTAGCTTGGATGCCCAGCATCTCTGCGGGCTCAGAGAGTGCATACCAAGTCCTGTCCTTACAAACACTGACGGATACAAAGAAAGGGTCAGTGGAACTCTCCGAACGTGCCTATAAAACAGACAGGGAGTTAGAGATAAGGAAATACGAAGAAATGCAAGTGAGTAGGATAGCTTACCTACTTTTGAGCTTCTGCTCAAAAGAAACATAACAGGTCTACGTTCCTGAAGGGTTATTAACTGTATTCCACGCTACTTCATCCTCTGGAAAGAGCTGAATTTTTGCCCTAGAGACTTGGAGGCAGGGGGTGGAATTGCCTGACAACAGTTTCAGTATTTTTATGCCATAAGTTTAGTAAGGTATGTGGATCCCTCTAACCATAGGAGAGGGTTCTGAGACACAGGGTGGCTTTGACTTGGACTCTCAAGGTGCAGGGTTTTTGGCAGAGGCAACACATTGAGAACAGTAAGTCATTGTTGAGTGACAGGAATCGGACCAGAGCTAAAGAAAATTAAGATTTCAAAAGATTGTCTAAAACAAAAGTCCCTTCAGTCCCTGGTATTCAGAGTTTCAGCCCTTACTGAACCAATGTTGCTCATTTTGCAGGGAGAAAGCAGCGAGACCATGTTATCGGGAGCCCGGAGATTGCCAGGTCAGCCACTATTAACATTTCTACTCAGTGTTTCATTCTGTTATACCTAAGGTCGCCATGAGTGGTAGCTGATTCTGCCGCAACTAACGAGCGTTCATTGCTCAGCGTAGAGTTCATCTGGAAGGAAAGACAGAAGCAACCCTTTCCTGTGTTACTTGAGCTTATTCTCATCTTGTATCTCACCAGGGCATGGCTTGAGTTATGGGTTTGTTTCAAACACGAAAGGTATCATTTCAACAGGAACAGATCGCAGGGAAATGATTGCCAGTTTACCAGCTTCCTTCTTTCCTGTGTCTTTTTTTTTTTTTTTTTAAACTCCTTTTGAAGGCTGTTGAGGGCTCGTTGTTTCTTGTTGTTGTGAGTGCTGTCGAGCTGGCCTCCGACTCATGGCAACCCCATGCACAACGGAATGAGACACTGCCTGGCCCAGTGCCATTCCTGGGATGGTTGCAGATCAGACCGTTGTGCTCCGTAATCACGGTTTTTACTGGCTGATTTTAGGAAGTAGATCGCCAGGCCTTTCCTCTTTGTCCATCTTAATCTGAAAGCTCTGCTGGAAGCTGTTCAACATCAAAGCAACACACAAGCCTCCACTGACAGATGGATGGTGGCTGCATATGAGGTGCATTGGGTGGGAATCGAACCTGGGTCTCCCGCATGGAAGGTGAGACTTCTACCACTGAACCACCATTGCCCTCAGCTGTTTCTTAAGGAGGTTGAACTCAGATCTCAGCCAGAACTTATCTGGAGGACCCTGGAAGGTCTTAGCAATTCTGGCATCGACATTAGGAAATGAATCCTCTCCTGGGCAGAGCTGGGAAGGCCCAGTGCTCTGACACCACAAAGGACCCCATGAACATCTAAGGATTGACTGGTTTCCTGGGGGAGATGTGGGGTCATGGGGTCCCCCTGGAAATGTGCTAAATGGAGCCTGCGTGATTGGGTGCCATCAGCAGCAGGGCAGTTACAAACTTGCCAGGCTGAGGCTGAGTTTTTCCTTGGATTTTAGTAGACAAATGGTTCCTCTTACTTCACAGAGGACTTTCCGTTCCTGCTCCTTGTTTATTCCTCACACGAGTCCTTCCCAAGACACAGAGACAAGTGACTTGTTTTGGGCCATTAACAAATTGAAGACTGTATCACAGCTTCAAAATCTAGCTTGGCCTCTTGACCAAAAGAGCACTTGATCATTCTTGTCAAGATTGTCATAGGTGGTAAAGCGTTTGTCTTCACCTTTCTTCACCTCATTTCTGTTTCCTGGTTTCTAGCAGGTATTATCTGAAAAGTCCGTGCACAGGTGTCCTAGGACCGCCATGAAAAAGTACCACAAAGTGTTGTGTTGTTGTTAGGTGCCATCGAGTCAGTTCCAACTCATAGTGACCCCGTGTACAACAGAACGAAACACTGTCCGGTCCTGCGCCATCCTCACAATCGTTACCCTTGAGCCCATTGTTGCAGACACTGTGTCAGTCCATCTCGTCAAAGGTCTTCCCCTTTTTCACTGACCCTCTACCAAGCATGATGTCCTTCTCCAGGCACTGATCCCTCCTGATAACATGTCCAAAGTATGTGAAACAAAGTCTCACCATCTTCATTTCTAAGGAGCATTCTTGTTGTACTTCTTCCAAGACAGATTTGTTCGTTCTTCTGGCAGTCCATGGTGTATTCGATATTCTTTGCCAACACCATAATTCAAAGGCATTGATTCTTCATCAGACAGTGTTCTGTTGCTATTCATAGAGTTTTCACTGGCTAATTTTTTTCAGAAGTAGACCACCAGGTCGTTCATCCTACTCTGTCTTAGTCTGGAAGCTCAGCTGAAACCTGTCCACCATGGGTGACCCTGCCGGCATTTGAATACCAGTGGCATAGCTTCCAGCATCACAGCAACACGCAAGCCCCCACAGTATGACAAACAGACAGATGCATGGGGGACCACGAAGTGGGTGACTTTAAATGCCAGAAATTTGTTGTCTCAGTTCTGGAGGCCCAAAGTCTGATTTTGTGGTGTCAGCAGGGCCATGCTCCCTCCAAAGGCTCTAGGGGAAGATCTTGTCAAGTCTCTCCCAGCTTCTAGCAGCCCCAGATGTTCCATGACTGTGGATGGGTCTTCATGTGGCTGTCCTTCCTCTGCCTGTCTGCCTGTGTCTCTCCTCCTTTATAAGAACACCGTTCAGATTGGATTAGGGCCCACCCAACTCCAGTATGACCTCATGTTAATTTAACTGCTAACATTTTCCAAGACCCTATTTCCAAACAACATCATGGGCACAGGTACCAAGGGTTATCTTTTGGGGCGACACAGTTCAACCTGTAACGGTCTGATTATCCTTCCTAACTTATCCACATCATGCAGTTTAATTTTCACGCCTTCCCTCTCTGCTGAGTTCTTTTGTTTCATTAAAAAGGCAGAAAGCCATTTCATTTTTGGAACATATAACGGCATATCAACATTTTCTGTGTCTTGGAAATCATCTCCATTGCACCCCTTGCTGTGTGTTGTATCTGGCCTGGTTGTTCAGGGCGGCAGGTACCCAGATCGATCCCTAAGAGAAGTTTTCGTGTTGGCCTTGAATATGCCATTTTTGTTTTAGCCAAGGACTTGGAAGAGTAAACTGAAAATATATGTATATTTTTACTATGAACATAAATGCCAAACATCTTCTGAATTCCATAGCTTGTTTTGCTGAGGGAAAAGAATTCATGAGGATGTTGATCAGGGATATAATAAATTTCTGGAGGGACCATCTAGTCTCAGGGGTCTACTCCCCTCTCTTTCTTCTCTGGAGCTTCCCCAGCCAGGATAATCCTGAACTGTTTTGAAAAAGGGTAGGTCCCTGGGAGGGGGTTCTGGGGCTGTATCATGGATTCAATTGTGTCCCCCAAAATATGTGTCAACTTGGTTAGGCCATGATTCCCAGTATTGTGTGGTTGTCCTCCATTTTGTGATCATAATTTTATGTTAAAGAAGATTAAGGTGGAGTTGTAACACCTTTACTAAGGTCACAACCCTGATCCAATGGCAAAGGAGTTTTCCTGGGTTGTGGCCTACACCACCTTTATCTTACAAGAGATAAAGGAAAGGGAAGTGAGCAGAGAGGGGGGACCTCATACCACCAAGAAAGCAGGGCCAAGAGCAGAGTGTGCCCTTTGGACCTGGGGTTCCTGCACTGAGATGCTCCCAAATCAAGGGAAGACTGATGACAAGGACCTTCCTCCAGAGCCGACAGAGAGAGGAAGACTTCCCCTGGAGCTGACACCCTGAATTTGCACTTCTAGCCTACTAGGCTGCGAGCAAATAAATTTCTATTTGTTAAAGCCATCCTCTTGTGGGATTTCTGTTATAGCATCACTAGATGACTAAGACAGGCTGTTAGACTTTGAGTCATTGCAGATTTTTCCTCATGTTTTAAGTAAACCTGTAGCATTTAGGATGTGAGTTCAGTTCTTTGTTTCTTTCCTAACACACTTGGACAAGCCACTCACTTCTGAAACCTTGGTCCAACTTATCTTAGTAGCAGCTGTGATAATTTTCACCTCTCTTAATTTTATCTGAGTTCCATGTTCTTCAGTTAGATAAGTGATAGAGTAAGATGTCATTAATCTGGACTCAGTACTTTTGGAGATGAGTCATCCAGAGGGATGAGATGAAGCTTACTATTTTTTAAATATATGTATGACGGTGTTTATTAAGCCTAGTCATATGCTTGTAGGAGCAAATAGTTAACCTGATAAGAAGGGAGCTGTTGTTGTTAGGTGCCATTAGTCGATTCTAACTCATAGCGACTCCATTTGACAGAGTAGAATTGCCCCATAGGGTTTTCTAGGCTATAGCCTTTATGGGAGCAGACCTCCAGGTTTTTCTCCTGCAGAGTTGCTGGGTGGGTTCGAACCCCTAACCTTTTAGTTAGCAGCCTTTAAAGATTTGAATTTTTTTTTTTATTGTACTTCATGTGAAGGCTTACAGAACAAAGTTTCTCATGAAACAGTAGTACACATATTGTTTTATGACATTGGTTAACAACCCCACGACATGTCAACCCTCTCCCTTCTCGACCTTTTTTTTTTTTGGTGAAAATATACATAGCCAAAGATACA